ATCAACCTGCCCCCCCGGCAATGCTCGTGTCGTTTTATATAATTATTTCTTATTATTGTAAATTTGGGTGAAATATATAAGTTATTGTGTGATTATAATGTGATTAAAGAAAAGTGTATTTGTATGTAAAAAAAAATGGGAATGTTGGGTTGTACTACAATACTTACAGGAATTTATGCTCTTTTGATTCCTCTATCTAATAGTTTTCTTTTCTTTTACCTTTTTTTCCCCTCACATTTCTGTGTTTCTACATTATACTGAGAATTATGATATTGTCTTCTCCAAGAGAGAAAATTCTGTTCATATATCCTGAATAGGTTCAACAGTTGTCCTGTAGAAAGAAAAATAAATTTGGCTTCAATTTTTTTTTGTTACTGGTCTAAAATGGGGCCTATAATTCCATCTATGTTTTCCTCTTGTTAATAATTTTTTGCCATAACATACATTTCACTCATCACATGGGAGCCAATGCATAGTTGCACTCTGAAATCCACATTCTGTTTAGGCCACAAATTTAAATACATTTTTTTTTTTCATTTATCATTATTATTGTTGTTGCTAGTATTTTTCTGGAAAAGGTGAATGTGAGAAAAAGTCTTGACAGCTTATCAACCCCAAAAAAGAAGGTTTACACTTAAAACATATTTTGTTCTCTTTGAATGACAATCAATGTGCCAAAGAGAGCGTCTACCATGCCGGCCTATTATTTCTAATCCTTGCTTGTTTAATATAGTGTTTGGATATTATGGAATAAAAAATAAGGAAAGCAGTTCTCAGTTCACTTTATCGAGCTACAAGTTAGGAAATATTTTATTTTTTCCTTATATAAATAATTGATCCTGAAAATCTCGATCGAACCAATTTTATTGGCTGGTAACTTGGTATACTCACCTGCAAAAAATCTGTACGTCGTTAATACGACCCATACATAATTGTCCTCCTAAAATACGACACTGCGACGATGCTCATCGTCATGCCTCTTGTACAAGGCATTAGCAATCTCTTCCAAGACACTCAGAGGGTCAACATCTTCAAATGGAACCTTTCTCCAATCCCCTTTCTTCCTTATCAATTGATACATCATCTCAAATGCACGAGTAATCTTCATTTCGATTTCACCTTCATAAATTTCCTACATTGCTCCTATTCAGTATGTGGAAGCAACTCGGAGCCTGAAACTTGTGCTGCACCAGCTGTGCGTACATCGCCCTCGACATCCTCACCAAGTTGTTAACCACCATCAACTTCGCTTTACCAATGGGCAATAACTTCTCCATTTTAGCAGTGTACTTCATAATGTTGATAACCTCGTCTTCAAAAAGAGGCGGACCCTAATATTCGGTTGACCCCTCGTCTCTTTTTCTCTATCAAAAAGAGATAGACCCTCATATGCGGTCAACCTCTCGTCATAAAAGACTCTCATATTTGGTTGGCCCTGTTCATCCTCAAGGGCCCCTAAATATTCGGGGATGTCGATCTTAAAAGACGACTCCCATCAACAGTTGTCGGCAATTCGCTCGTCGTCCCATGAAGCGAATGGATTCACCTCGAAGATGGTGTCTTCTTGATCCTCGTCCCCAAAGTACGACGGAGGCGATCGAGAGCGGGGCGCCCTGCTTGACCCCGATCACCGCGCCCCCCTCTGCTGCTGCCACGTGCTCCATCCAGCGTGCGATTCGTTCGATCGTCCTCGTCTGTGGCGGCCTGAGCCATCCGGAAGTCTTCCATCACTGCGGTCAGTGCTGCGACATGGCGGCTTAATGCGGCGATCTCGGCGTCGCGCCTGATGTACGCAGCGTCGTACCGTCTGTGCGGCATGGCATAGAAACCGTATTGGTATGTTGATACCAATTGAATTAGGGAAAGCGTAAGCAAACGGAAAAATTGATAGAGGTCTCTCGTAGTTTCTTAATTCAATCAAAATCAACAAAGTCTCTAAACAATATAATAAGAGTTTGGAATAAGACTCATAAGAAACCTACTTACCATAAACTTAGGAATCTTGAGAAATCCCTAACTTACCATACACTTTCCTACCAAATAATAAGACTATACTAATTAAATACCTCAAATGACAATAAAATAAAATGAATAAATAACCAAACTAAAGATGTCAAACGATCATGACAGTCCAACAAAGCCAACGCAATATCTTCTCTATCATATCAATTGACGTAGCGAAAGCGTAAACGAACGGGAGAATTGAGAGAGAACTCTTGTTTTTTTCTCAATTCAATCAAATTCAACTAACCTTAAACAATAGAACACGAGTCTTACATAGAACTCCTAATAAAGTCCTAATAAAATAACTTCTCTACAAAGTAAATGACTATGATAATTAAATAACTTGTAAAGGTGTAAAATAAAAATAAAAGAATAAATACTCAAACAAACATGTTTGCCTAGACAAATTAACGGAATCTCGTCTCTATCAGCTCTTCCAAGTAGTTTTGGTCCTCACAACAATATATATTAAACAAGACTCATTCGAAACATTGTGCAAAAGAAGATTTTTAGACGACCAACTTAGAGTTAGTTTAGTTAATTATCTACTTATAATTTTCAGTTTTTCAAACATTGGTTAAATCATTGTAATAATTGGAAACTGGTCCAAATTTGTAACGAAATATTTCATGTTATATATACTCAATTAGTGTAACATGATTCAACATGAATCACAATATGATGCATCATTGTACCATGTGAAGCAAAATAAAACAAAGAAAAAGAAAGGAAAAAAGATGACATGAGCGTGTATCATTTCTCAAGAAAGGCAAGACAGTTGGGTGTAATGAATGCGACTAATGCAGCAAAACCTTATTCTGCTTTTGACTTTCCTTTTTCCAATTCAGATAATTCAGTGGAATAAACTAAAAAGCAATATTGCAGGCTTGCAGCTCAAAATGAGAGCAAATAACATTAGTACAATATTTAATATTTTTTAGTTTTTACCTTTCTTTAATCCCAGCACACAAATATTGGAATAAACTGAATGTTCTTTAACTATCATACTTAGTTAATTGCTATAAACAAGTATATGACACATCTTCATGAACTACTTTGAAAATCAGACAATGTGCTCAAAATTATGCTAAATTGGTGCCTAAAACACACATCCATATGAGTGTGTGTGAGTGTGTGCAATCGATAAAATCGAATTGCCGGTCTGATTTCCCAATTGAAATGAATTAATCTGAGAAAAATAAAATACAAGAAATCAAAATCAAGCACCATGCACAATAATACATCTAAAAACACTCAAAACAAATCTCAATTATCCTTCAAAATGCAGAAAAGAAGATTGCTCGCCGGAAACGGGGATTCTATTCATGTCTTCCACTTCGTTTTCCTCCGGTGGAGCAAAATCCGGCAGCAAATCATCGGAAAAATCGAAAGCGCTCATCAGATTATCACAATCCGCAACTCTCGAACAACTGGACTGAAGGGGTTCCCTTGAGATCTGGCCGCGGCCCAATACAGAAGGCCCAGGCCCATCTAAATGGTCCGGCCCAGCGACGTAATTCCAGGCCAATATCCTCTGCATTTTACCCAATTCCAAATTGGCATCGAATATCGCATCGGAAGCGGCTAATAGGGCCGGCGGCGAAAATCCCGGGTGATATTCACTGGTAATGCAGCCAAAACCGGACAATTCCGCGTTGTTCTCCGGCTCAATTTTCCGAATCTCTCGGTTCACGGCGGTGCGGCTGTAATTCCCCATAAAACCGGCGGGCGGCGGCGGCGGGTCGGCGTCCAGGGCGTCGATGGCGGCTTTGGCCTCCCTCATGAGCCAGTCGATGGCCTTGCTCGGCCGGTCGTAGCCGAGCCGGTCCTGGACGTCGTAGAACTGGATGGCGGTCCCGGGTGACAGCCTCACGCGCCGGTCGCGCGTCCCCCTGGCGGTGCAGACCTTGCTGTGCCGGTCCTTCCGGCCAGCCGACCGGACGACGCTTGCGCCGGCCGGGTCCGGCTTTTTTCTCCTCTTCGCCTTCGGCATTTGGGACGACAATGTTCGGGATGGTGAAATTGCACCGGAGGCCACCAATTCTTGCCAATTCACAGAACGGCCCCCGACCGGGTCCACGCTGAAAACCGGCGGCCGCTCGTCGTCTTGTTCTTCCGTTTGATTTTCGGAGGGAAAGGGAGGGGAGGGATTTTAATGGAGGGGAGGGAAGGGGAGGGGAGGTGATGTAAAATCATTTTACCTTGTTTGGAAGGATTTTGTTGGAGGGGAATGAAGGGAAAATGGCAAACCTTGTTTGGTTAGATAATGAAAGGGGAGGGAAAATAATGTTAGAATGACAAATGTATCCTTAATGATGTTAAAATAAAAATTAAAATATTATATATGACAAGGATAAAATTGTAATTGAGTGTCTTAATATTTTCCCTCCCCTCCAAATTCCCCCAAAATTGAAGGGGGAGCCATTTTCCTCTGCACATGAATTAGAGGGGAAAATCTCATCCCTCCCCTCCACAAAAGAGTGAACCAAATAGAAGAAAATTAAAAGTTTCCCTCACCTCCCTTCCCCTCCCCTCTGATTCCCTTTAACCAAACACTACGTTAGGGATTCACGCTCACCGCTCTTTCACTTGAGCTCATCATCAAATGCAAGTACAAAAGGAGAGGTTAAAGTTTACTTGGATTTAATTTTGCTTTAAACGAAGTTGTACTTTTTTTTTTCTTTTTTTTTTTTATGTGAGAGTAAATTCTTTTTGTCAATTTGAGGTGAATATTGGTTAAATTGCAAGATTAAATATTTATTTATTTTTTTGCTTAGTTTTCAATCTAATTCAATATTTTCAATTTTGGTAATGAAAATCGTTTATCCGAGGCTATAATATCTGACTCGTAAACTTATATGGAGTAAAGAAGAATGACATGTCAAAAAATAAAAAATAAAAATAAAGATACACCACATCTATTGAAAAAAGTGTTGTTTTTAAAAACCTGATTGGTATTACTTTGAAATTTTTTAAAAAATTTAATTTCCCATTCACTCGTGCACCTTAACCGGCCAAAACTGAATGACAACATATCAAACGCTATACAAATAGGGTGTGATTGGTTGGATGCATTAGGTTCGATATCACACCATTTCATACCATATCCATCATATTATCGTGTTTGGTTTCAATAAGTAAGCCTTGGAAATAAGTCATAGTCCCCTAAATTATTAGCAATTTTCAGTATTATGGATACCACCTCTTTGGTGGGATGTGTAATATATCATAATTTTACTTTTCAATTTACAAAATCAGCCTCAACCCTACTTCCTCCACATACCCGTGCCCTAAATCGATGGGAGAAAAAAAAAATCTCTGAGATCGAAGCGCCTCCTGGACCTCCGCGACGAGGAGAAACACGAGGTCGAGGCCAAATCCCTCCGCCGCCAGAAGCAATCCCATCGCAGACCTGCAACAAAACACCATGCCTCGTCCTCCTCCAACCCTAACTTCAAGCCAAAAATTCCCAAATCAAAGTTCAAACCCTCCTCCGAATCGCTCGCGGAACATCGACGACCTTAACCTTCCCTAGCCGAAAGTCGTCCATCGCCTCCGAATTTAGCAGAAAAATAGTGGTGGCAACGAATTTGTCTTTTATGGTCATTATCAATCTTTCCTTTTGTTTATAAAGTTTGTCTCTGTTCACAAGTTATTGTAACATAAGATGAGAAATTTGAACTTTTATGAATTTGCAATGATATGGAAAGAAACATAAATTTTGGAGTGGGGCAAGATTTGAAAATTTAATTGTAGATGAAGGGTAAGAACGTAATCTAGTCGTAAAGGTTATAATTATCATTCTCCAACCAAATGAGTAGCACTGTCAAAACGGGCCATGGCCCGCGGGCTGGCCCGTCCGTCCGCCTAAATGGACGGGCTTGGACCTTTGCTTGGCCAGCCCGTTCAATCGCGGGCCTATTTGGCCCGCCCCGTTCGGCCCGCGGTCTAAAGCGGGCTGGGGCGGGCTGGTCCGCGATCCAGCCCGTTTTTTTATTTTGTTGGATTTTGTCTTTATCGACTTTTTTTTTCTTCTTATTCTTCTTCTTCTTCCATATTTATTTATTTATATTTTTTAAAATTTGACAATGATATTAAGATTTGTGAATGCACATGAAACACTTTTTTACATAATAAAAATATTAATGAATCAAACAATATTTTATGTGAATTAAGTCTCTCCTCCGCGTGAATACCCTATAACTATTAATAAAAAAAATAAAAATAAAAATTGGATTACAAATATTTAACATCATTACACATGAAACCTTACTAGTTTATTAATATACTAGTAAATATAAGCATAAACAAACCAAAAAGTATATAAGAGTACATAATACCAAAAAACCCGCGGGCGGGCCGATTTGGTCCGCGGGCTAATGAGGGCGGGCCACGGGCCATGGATTTCCCAGCCCGTAGAAATGCGGGCCATTTTGGACCGCCCCGTTTGAACTGCGGGCCAGCACGAGCCAGACCGAACCGGCCCGTTTGACACTGCTACAAATGAGTTAGTGGGCTAGGTAAATTGTGAGATAGCCTTTGATAAAATCAAAAGGATTATATCAAGTCCAATAACCCTTTGCCAACCAATCACACCCATAGAGAATAAGGTTGGACACAAGAAAAAGTTATGAATGACAACATATCAAAGGCTATACAAATAAGATAATAAGGTTGGATACAAGAAAAAAGTAATGAAATTATGAAACTCTATATGTAATATAAGAACATTAGTCGTAATCTTAATTTTATTTTTTACTTTTCTTATTTATGATATCTCGCATCTCCTTCTCCATGTAATATAATGGGCCGAATTCGCAAGTATAGTATCCGATGCCAGTTCTACATGCTTCGATTGGTGAAAATAAAAAACCAGTGTCTTTCATTATCATTAATAAAATAAAAAGGTCGTAATATATATTGAAAATAAAGCAAATACTAAAAATTAATTTATAATTTTTTTTAAAAAATAAATATACACCTCATCTAAATAAAAAATAGGTTCCTAAAAACCTTATTTCAAATATTTTGGAAAAATGGAGAAATCCTAAGGGCATGCTTTGATACAAGATTTCTAAAAACAATCAATCATTTTTTATCATTGTTCTGAAAACCGGACCGGTCATCGAACCGGTGAAGCTACTGGTTCAATGGTTCACTGGTCGAACCAGCGGTCGAACCGGTTGAACCGGTTTAATTAATATATAATTTTTTATTTATTTTATATGTATAATATATAATTATATATATTTTTTATTGTTAATTCTATTAATTTTATTGTGTATGACATTTCTTTAAATAATAACTCAATAGTAGATACAATCGACAATGTTGATTAATGTTTATATTTTTTATTTTATTTTATTTCTTAGATTTAAATTTTTTATCTATATTTAAGTTACAAAATAGAAAGAATAGAAACAATCCTATTTTCATTTTAAATCACATTTCAATTTTTTTATTATTGCTTAAAAAAATAATGTACATAACAAACAACTATAATTTGTTTATTTCTTTTTTTATAATTTGGGAATAGATATAGCCCAATTGATAGTTCAATTTTAAAAATAGTTCATTTTTTTAATGAGTACAATATTGTAAGGTCCAATATTGGCCCAATAATTTTATCAAAGGAACATATCCCACATTGGAAACACAAGTAAAAAAGATGTGCTATTTAAATCACTTCACAATCAACCAATTCAAAATTCAAAATCTTGAACCGTTGAACCATTCGAACCGGTCCCGGTTCACCGGTTCAACCGGTTTTGGACCGGTTCGAACGGTTTTCGACCGGTTCAAAAGCTGGGCGGTTTGATGGTCCAAACCGGACCGGAATGAAGGCCGGTTCCCGGTCCAACCGGTTGAACCGGCCGGTCCGGTCCGGTTTTCAGAACAATGTTTTTTATCAACCACTTTT